AGAGAGAGAGAGAGAGAGAGAGAGAGAGAGAGAGAGAGAGAGAGAGAGAGAGAGAGAGAGAGAGAGAGGGGGGGGAGGGGATAAGCGGAGGGGAGCCAGCTGGTTGTGTTGATTGTCTGCAATTGCAAGCTCACTATCATTTGCATGTGTAGGATATAATCCACTGCTGGCCAATTTCCGTACCTCCAAGCACCCCTTTGTCATATCACTCTGTATCTTTTGGCTTGTTTTGCCCACATCCATTTTCTGCCCAGAGACGTCTATCAAATCTGTCGGCGATTTAGTCAGTCATGTGGCACAGTTAGTGTCCGGACTCCAGACCCTTTAATGTACCTATTCATCTGCCCCCCCATCCTTCCATCCATCCGCCCAACTATCAATGCACCCATCCTATCCATCTTTCCATCCATCCTTTTTGAAGATTTGATGAGATTTGCTTTGAGTTTACTTTCATATTACTCATCTATTGATTCATTGGGTCATGCCTTTGGAACATCTGAAGTGCACTCAGGCGCGGACAGACCGGTGTATCACACAACAAATTAGGACAACGAGTTTGAGAGACTGAGTTCATCGTAAGGGCGGCAGAAGGAAACTTTGGTGTCCCTGCCCTTTGTACACAGCACTCGTCGCTTCTACCGATTAAATGGTTCGGTGAAGTGTCTGGATCAGGGTGATCTCGGCTAGTCGCTCACCCATACTATCCATCCATCCACCTATTCTATCCACCCATCCATCCATCCATCCTATCCATCCATCCTATACATCCATCCTATACATCCATGCATCTGATCGATTCACCCATCCACCTATTCTATCCATTCCCCCATCCACCTATTCTATCCACTCATCCTTCCATCCCATCCATTCACCCATCCATTGATCCTATGCATCCATCCACCTATCCTATCCCCTCTTCCTATCCATCCATCCACCTATCCTATCCATCCTTTCCATCCTATCCATTTCATGCATCCATCCGTGAAAAGGGAGGTGGACAGCAGACTTACTCAGATTATTCAACACCTCAGGATCATTCTCTGCATATTGCTGCAGCTCAGCCTGCACAAGAGCAAGGAATCCAAATTACAAGGGCAAACAAGCAAATACGAGGGAGGAGGAAAGGAAGAAGAAGAGAATCCGGATTATGAGGGAGGACAGAAGGAAGAAAAACGAAACCAAGCAACTATCAAATCTTTGCTAGTCAACCAAGAGGGGGGGAAACAAATGAACCAAAAGAAGAAGAAGAAGAAGAAGCCCCTCCCTGTACCTCCCTTAATGCTGAATGGCACACGCATAAGAGTTTAAATTTGAAAATAAGTTTAAATAACTGGTGGCATTTAAAAGGTTACGGGTTTCAAATTTTAATTTTAAACTTTCAAATCCTGATGGATTATAGATACAAAGTAATACAAATAATTCAATAGCATATTAGCAAATTTATTGCCGCCTTCACCTGAATAGAATGCCGGCCATTATCGTTGTATCTAGACTGAACATTGGCCCAAATACAGTTGTAGTGAATGACCAGGCATTCTAATCGACTGAAGACAGCAGGGGCCAAGTCCCACTAGCAGCGTTGAGCTACCTCAACGCCTGAATGTGGACGCTTTTGCGGAGATGTGCAGAAATGGTGTTGAGTTTCCTGAACTGCACGTCTCCACAAACACGTCCAGATTCAGGTGTTGAGGTAGCTCAACGCTGCTAGTGGGACTTGGCCCCAGGGGTCAAAACCTTTGGAGAAAAGTGGAATTAGGAAAAAAAAGAAAAAAGAAGGTACCTTCCAGATACAAAAAATGAAGAAAAAATCGAAGTCCATGCAGAACAGAGTGATGCACTTCTCTTTTCTGAGATTTCTCGATTTTCAAAAAATAATAAAATATATATAAATTTATAAATTTAAATAATTTAATAAATAAAAAAACAGAAAACGAGTCAGAATCAGTCCTAATTTAATCCTTCCGGAGGAGGTCGCGCGAGCGCCGCCCGGTAAGCGCTCCCGCCAGCGCCATTTTTCAAAGCAGTCGCGCGTTGCAAACAGGCGCGAACTTTCGTGCATCCCCGTGGGAGCCTTCGCTGAAGGAGGAGACGAAGGCGTTCAGCCTCCAGCCGTGCCTTCGGGCGCGGCCATGCTAAAGGAGGTAGTAGGTGGATACAGCCATAGCTGGCACGAAAGGGCGTCCGACTCCAGGCGTCATTCAGCGTCCTCCCCACCAGGGATCGTCATCCAACAAGCCATGCCCGTCGTCAAGTTTTCAACGTGTCTTCTTCCAAGAACGGGAGAGCTAGTGAAGCGGCCAAAGCACACGTGCGCCCTGAGGGATTTCGACTCTTGAGTGAGACTGAGCTATAACCCTTCTCATCCCCATCACGAACCCCGAAGTCATCAATTGCTTGATCCTCTACAAGACGCTTCTTTTTTTGATTCCTCGTACTACGAACGAACGACACACTTTCCGTTACGCGTAATCCCCCATCCCCCCCATCCATTACGCTCCTCCCCCATCGCAACTATAGAGCTCTTCCCGCCCCTTCCAAGTCGATTCATATCCGCCCCGCCCACCCTTTTGGAACCCTTGTCCTCCCCCTTGCACCACCCCAATTCCAAATTAGCCCCACTCAATCTCCCAAGAGCTCTACACACACTATCCCCCCCACGCGACCCCCCCTTTCCGTCCCGCCCGCCCTTTTGGAATCCTTGTTCCCCCCTAGCACCGCCCCAATTCCAATTTAGCCCCACTCAATCTCCAAAGAGCTCTACGCACACTATCCCCCCCATGCGAACCCCCTCCCCCCACCTCCTTCCGTTAGATTCCTTTCCAATCGATCGATTCCCTTCCGATTGACTCCCTTTTGACCAATTCCCTCTCGATTGATTCCATGTTGATCGTTCCCCCCTCCGATCGATTTCCTTCCGATCGCCTTTGGTGTGATACCCGTTCCCCAGGTGGGGAGGGTAAATGCTGCCAAACTATCAGCCCCAACGAGGTACCTACAAGGTGTGAACATCCGACTTACCCTCTCCCACCATTGCTCCAATTTCCTTCGGCGCCAATCCCCAAGTGGGGAGGGCTGGTACTGCCAAATCTGCATCCCTCCTCTCTTTGACTTTAGACAAATCTTGTTTTGTCATGCCTCAACTCGGTGCCGCATCTCATATAGGTCTCCTTCCGTGGCCGACCTATCAATCCGCGTCATTCTTGCCAGTGATCTCACCTCTCCCCACAACACCACACCTCTGCCAACTCCCGCATCTTCAACCTCTGCTCGGGCACCATTTCGGATTTCATCTTCCCTCCGTACACTCAACTCATTCCCTCTCCCCCCCGTCCCTAGCCCCGTCTATCTCCAGTTTCCAACTGTCTAAGGGTGGATGGATCTAACAGTGGTTAAAGAGAAGGTTAGGACTGGCCGTGTTAGCCGAAGAGAATGGCCTCTCGGCCCCCAAGCATGGGCGCGACAAGCCAAAGCAGCCAAAGCACTGGGGAAATAAACACCTGCGTGATTGACAACGAAGCACTGAAATTCCTGATAGACAAAACAAAAGTTCAAGGAACAAAAACTACTGAGATACAAAAGGTGGACGGTAAAGAAGAGGGGATCATTGTCAGGAAGTACCCAAAAGAAAAAGTGGTAGAACTGGATGACCTGCATGAAAGACACGGTGTGGTTTTAAACGTCGCACACAATGGAGCAGAGCTCCAACCACCTGAGAAAAGAAAGTGGGTCATAGAAACGATCAAGAAAGAACTGAACTCAAACAATCGGGAGAAACCTTTACACTACAGACTTTGGGACGAAACAACATCATGGCGTTGTTCATACGGGAGGAACACGCAAAAGCAGCGTCGGACTTGCAGTCCAGGAACTGTAATGGTTCGGTATGCAAGATCACCAAGTGGAAGAAGGTTACCACACAGAGACAGAACCCGATCTTTACAGTCTCTTACAAACAAACATTGCCGAAGGAAAACTTATGGGTGTAGTTCGATAACATTCAACCGGGGTTCCATGGCCTGCTGGTAGACATATCCAGCGAATAGGATCCTCAAGTGGATCCTGCCGACACCAGAATTTTCGGCCCCGCACTGTGGATCTATGACGACAATCTTGGAAGTCAAGACAGACACCGCCCCGGTATTTCCACAGACCTGGAAGCTGCAGATCGAGAGCAGAGTGGTAGAAATCAAAGTTTCAACCAAGACTTCCCCGATCTGCTTTCGATGTAGGGAACGGGGTCACATGGGAACAGATCCTAACTGCCCAAGATATCCGAAACAGTCGAAAGAGCGTAAACTCCTGCCTAATATGTTGGTGGAAGTGGAGGATACACCGGGAACCTGGTTTGTTGCGGACAGCAACTACAACGGCTGGGTCTTTGACGACAACCTGGAAGAACCAGACTAGATCTGGCACTATGCCGATCAAGAACCCACACTCAAAAATCTTAACATCTTCCCTCCTACTGACAGTAGGTGGCAGAAAAAAGCAACAGGGAAGATGACAGACAACCCAACAAGGATCAAAACAGATCCTCTGATTGATTCGCGGGTGATTAGAGAAGAGAAAGACAGAGGTGACTTACTATGGGACCTGGACGTGGTTAGGGAACAGGCCGTCTCGCACTTTATCAATGAACCGTCCAGTCTTAGGAGTATGCTAAGGAATATGGAACAGGCAACGCTTCGCACGAAAGGTGGGACACCAGCAGACAATAAACGGACGTTGGACAAGGAAGATAAACAAGAGATCCAGGAGGGGGGTCTCAAAAGGAGGAAGGCAACAAATGCAGAAGGGAGAGAAGGAGCGGTTAGTACTCCCACATAAAGGACTGAAGAGGGGAGGGAAACAATCTCGAGAGGAACGGGGTCGGATAAGACGTCGGGGGAAAATAATGTCGATGAGGGAAGTGGGGTGATGGACAGCGGAGAGGAGTCCCAGCGGTCAATGGCTCAGGGAGTATGTGGAGAAGGTCAAAAGGGAAAGACAACATGCTTTTGACATTTGGGCGGCTTGCTTGAAACATGCAGAAAGAGCACAGAGAAGTGGAAAGAAAGGGTGGGTGGCAGATTTGGGGAACTCCAACAATCCATTCGATGCCCTCGGGAAGGCTAAGGCGGAAGAACTATCAGAATACACAGCCTTTAGGTATGCTGAAACGAAGAGAGCAAGGGAACAGGGGTGGAAAGACAAAGACAGAACCGTTCCGAAATCCAAAGACAAGTTTCAAGATCTGCGTCCTAAGAAATGGAAGTCTAGGAAAAACCAGAAAAAGAAGGACCCGGACATGTTACAGACGGAGTTTGAGGAAGACTCAGATCGCACGTTGTTGGAAAAGGAAGTGGCCGTAGCGTTAGCCCAAACGGACAAACTGAAAAAATTAAACGAGGAGTATGCACCAGAATTCACGACCATCACACACATGGCTAGGGATGAAGCACCACTGGTGGTGGAAACAGCTCGGTCGTCGCGATTAACGCTGTTGAACATCCGCCCACTAATTGCAGCAAGATACATGGAGAGAATTGGTGAGCGGCAGGTAGCAACAAACGTATCATTCCAGATCCCCTGTTTTGAGGAGCGACAAAATGTGGCAAATATCCTCCGGGAGAAGGTAACAACAAACTTTCCATCGGGAGTGTATGACTCGGTACCCTATGAATCAGATCAGGAGGTCACTCAACCCCAAACAGACCAAGAGGGCCAAGCAACTCAGCCTTCAAAGCATAGGAGACACTCTCCTCAGGCCTTCTCGCCCCTGATCGTTAAACTGTCAAAGACCGCCAAGTTAAGAACAGGGATGAGATGGAGACCCTGGCGGACGATAACAGCAGTGCCATACATTGTCTTGGTGGGTTCAAGTCTGCCGGCGGAACTGACAGCAGTTTCGGTGGCCCAATTAATTACTTCAGGGATACTGGAAGGCAATGGGGACCTGGACGCGAGGGCTTACCCTGTGGACTGGGAAAGGTTCTATAGAAGCGATGATTCGAAAGACGAGCCGCTAGAATGGCAGTTGGATGATGAGAAGGAGGATGAAGGTCAAGGAATGGGGTTGGACAAAACCATCAACAACGGTGAGGGACCGCACATGGTAGTGGGACAGGGTACGATTGGTTCTACAAAGGAGGGACAGGTTACGGAGGGGTCCGAGGTGGGGGACGACCCGATGGGCCTGGACACGGGACGTAGTTCGTCGCCATAGGTAGTCTCCTAGTTGAAACCATAATCACGACCCGGCTGACAAAATAAAGAAGAAGAATAAAGGAGATGGAGGAGCTCAGGAGACTGGCGAACGAGAGCGTGAACAGGGAAGATTGGAAGAACCAGGGGCTAATCTTTCGATGTTGGAATGTTAATGGGCTGGGTAATGTTATAGACAAAGAAGAAAAATGGAATGACATTGCCAAGGGTTTGACAATTGACAACAGAACATTAGCAGACATTATAATGCTTCAAGAAACCCATCTCTCCCCCTCGTCAGAGCATAGCAAAATCAAGAAGTTTCTGGCTAGGAAGTTGAGGGGTATAAAAAATGAAATATGGGCGATGGATAACACCTCGAGCACGAAAGGCACAACTATCCTGATCCCCAAATCCTCACGTTTTTATACAGTGGGAAGCATCTTAGACAAAGCAGCGGACGTTAATGAAGGAAGATGGTGTTCTATGCACCTCAAATGGAAGGAGGAAGAGTTGGTTCTATTCAATATCTACGCTCCAAATGAAAATTCAGAAAGAACGTCCTTTGTGACGAACATCGGTAATATGCTCCCACCTTTAACCCCGTGTACAGTGGCGGGAGACTGGAACGCTACCCTCGACCCCGTCACAGACCGTATATCATGGTCCTCCAATATATATAACTCACAAGAGGCGATACCTGTGCAGAAGTTAATGCTAGACCACAGTCTGATAGACCCCTTCAGGACCTTGCATCCCACTTTGAGAGTCTTCTCATTAGTTAAAAAGAACCTTGTGCACCATACAACATTCTCTCATATAGATTACTTTCTGGTATCAGAGACTCTGATGGGGGCGGTAAAGAAGGCTGAGATATTGCCCATAGCATCATACCCAGGTTTGGACCACAAGCCGATCGAACTAATAATCAACTTCGAGCCGCTCGTGACAAAAAGGGGCAGCTTCTACAAACTAAACAACTCCCTCTTGCTAAGCCAGGGTTTCCAGGAAGGGATACAGAATTGCTAGCAGGAACAGAGGAACAACGGTCTACCCACTGAGGACCGGTGGGAGTGGTTCCAAGGGAGCTACTTATCCCTATCGAAGACAGTGGCCGGAATGTCGAGGAAATTAGCTTCCATAAGAAAACGAAGGAGACAAAACTTGGAATATGCGCTGCAGATAGCAGAATCTAATATGAGGGACAATCCATCCTCAAAGCTCTATGCGGGAATCTTTGAGAAAGCACGGGAGGAGTTAGCTATGTGGAGGTGGTGGGACCTAAAAGGGTTGCAAGTTAGAGCTAGAATGAATGAATATGAACTTAGTGAGTCAATGTCCAAACACTTCTTCGCCCGGATCAAGGCCAACTCAAGAGCAGCCACAATAGAGAAGTTGAAAACTCTCAGCGCTCCGAAAATCACAGAGGTCACTAGCGAGGCGATGCTAGGAATCACAAAGGATTTCTTCCAAGAACTGTACCAGTCCAAGACTAAAACACCCACTCCGCACAACACTTTGGAAGCCAGACAGAGGATGCTACAATATTTGGAACAAACGATATCTAAAGAACAAGCGGAAACATTAGACAAGCCTCTAACATTGGATGAACTTGGTCAAGCACTCAAGAACATGAACAACGACAAATCTCCAGGAATCTATGGGCTAACGAAGGAATTCTGGGAAAAGTTTTGGCCACTTTTGGGGGATGACTTGCTGAACTTCTACAAGGACAGCTATGACAAAGGGAGTCTCTTGAGTAGCAACGTTGTTACATTGCTGTATAAAAAAGGGGGCAAAGAGGACATTAGGAATTACAGACCAATCTCCCTACTAACGCTTCCTTACAAAATTCTTGCCAARACCTTGGCAGCCAGAATCTCGAACCTAACAGACAAATGTTTCCACATTGACCAAACGGGTTTCATTCCTGGCGCTACATACTGGACAATGTATTGACGCTGAACGAGGCGGTAAACGAAGTCAGAGAAAGGAGGATAAACACAGCCATACTCTTTTTCGATTTTGAGAAGGCGTATGACCAAGTTAATTGGTCCTTCATGGATGCAAGCATGAAACGAATGGGGGTGGGGCCCATCTTTAGGAAGTGGATCTGAGTACTATACAGCGACGCCATAGGC